CCCCAAAACCCCAAAACCCCAAAACCCCAAAACCCCAAAACCCCAATGCTAAAGGGATTATAGTCGTTAAATATTTAAAATAATTATTTTCCAAATAAGAAAATTAGAAATGAACAGGAGAGGTCGCTTGTTAAATAGTCGTTCTATTCTACGGAGTAAGGAGAAAGATCGTTCTTTCCATCATTCCAAGCGTCAGTCATACAGAGGACTTGGTACAGATCATTCAAAGTAAGCCTAGCCCTCTGAATTGGCCATTTCTGGTGATCGGCTCATCAGCTAGCCGATCTATGTATCCTCTTTTCTAACAAATTCCGAATCTTGTTAAGAAAAATGATTAAAATCTGTGAAATTAGTCATTTTCTCAACAAAATCGTCCTTGTGTGGCTTGGATTTTGACATCAAATTAATGAATTAAGCTTACTTTTAGAACAAGGAAGGAAAGTGAGATCAGAGGCTCTGTAGGAAGGAAATCAGGCACTTTCTTGAGCATCCCGTTAGCTCTAAAGAGAAAGAAAAGTTTAAATGAGTTTTTCTCTAAATAAAGCCATGCCAAGAACCATCCAAGTGCCTTCTGAAGATTTTAAACCTCATTGAAATAAGAAAATAGAAATTGATAGTCAGTGTGATGATATGGAGATAGATGAAAATAATGATATAAATTCAACTAAAGTCCGGACCCTTGCTTCCTTCTATCCTTCAAACTGCTTGAAAGCAACTAAGGATCTCGAAAAACATAGCTATAACTTTGGCCGTCGAAAATGATCTGATGATGAAATGAATCCCGACTGAATCCCCGATGAAGAAAAATTAAGAATTTTCCACCATAAATGTGAAACTGAGATGTTGAAAGATAAGCTAAGAAAGCCGGATCTAGAGACCTTATCAATCCCAGAGCATTTAGCTGAGTACGCTGATGATGTCTTTGAGCATATGCATAAGACAGAAGATATCTATCTGCCTCAATATGGCTATATGAAATCACAAAAGGATGTAAACGAGAAGATGAGAGCTATCTTGGTTGACTGGCTGATAGAAGTCCACTATAAATTTAAATTACTTCCTGAAACTTTATATATTACTGTAAATATTATTGACAGGTATCTCGAGCTCAAAGAGATCAAAAGACAAAAACTTCAGCTTCTTGGTGTGACCGCCATGTGGATTGCATGCAAATATGAGGAGATCTACGCTCCTGAAATCAAAGATTTTGTGTACATAACTGATAATGCATACGAACAAAAAGATATATTGACACTTGAATATGAAGTTCTAAAAATTCTCGAATTTAATATCACCACTCCATCTGCGTATAGGTTTTTAGAGAGGTATGCCAAGCTTCTGGGGGTAAATTCAAAGACATTCAACCTAGCATGGTACCTTATAGAACTTCCTCTGATAGAATACAAGATGCTGAAATATAAGCCATCAATGATAAGCTCAGCTGCACTTTTTCTAGCAAATAAAGTTTTGAAAAATAACATCAGGTGGAATTCTTCAATGAATAATCTTCAGAAGTTCTCTTCAGGGATTAAACCTCAAGAAGGAACCAAGGTTCCAAATATTGCCACATACTGTGAACAAACTCTCAAACCTTGAGCGAAGGATCTGTGAGTTTTGTTATATGGTATTGACAAAATAAGTCTGAAAGCGGTTAAAAAGAAGTTTTCAGATAAAAAATTTGAAGAAGTTGCTCAGATTTTACTCAAAAATGACTAAGAAGATCTTATTAATTGATTTATTCTAAATCTACCCAATTCATAAGAATTTCATATATTTATATTCAATTCTTAATAATTTAAGAGGGGTTTTGGGGTTTTGGGGTTTTGGGGTTTTGGGGTTTTGGGGTTTTGGGG